TGGGCGGTTGTGTAGACACAACCCTTTTCACATAATTACTCGACTTCTCTGTAGTCACTGGTCTCCTCCGGACTATATTCACCCCGCTTCGAAACAGCCCGGTTTGGGATAAACTTCAGTGGTTGATAACTTTTCCCGTTTGCATTCCCGTGAAATGCAAAACATTGACCTGCCCAACCTAGCCTACGGGTTTCGCATGATCGTTTTGGTTTTACCAATGCCAGAGCTGTCTGCCTTGATTTGTGTTTAATCAGACGTGCCCTGGAAATTATTGCCTACCGAGGGCCTGCTTCTGTATGAAATTATTTATAAACGTAAAATGAAAAATCAACTTTCGGTAATAGTGTATGTGCTAAAAATTCTGCGAAACTTCTCAAGTACTCGCCATATTGAATTCACTGGGTTAGAACTTTGTGTCTTATAAGTCCCTTTCTGAAAAACGTTCAGCGAATAAAATAAAGAATTAACCGCCAATTGTATTGTGTATTACCGAGAAGTTACTTCATTCGGACTGGACGGGGTTTCAACAGACCCGGTCCAATCGGTGACATTTAATGCCCAAAACACCACTCATTTTGTGGGGTTTCCAATGCATTGCGGTTGGTTGGATTCACTTGAAGTTGAAAAGGTGTAGAAACCGACATGATTCCAATTCTTTGGTTGTCATCTTCCTTCTTCCTCAAAATTGTTTGCATCCTAACATAAATAATAAAAAGAAAGTCATAAGTCAAGACAAAATAATCGGTAGAAATTAGAGTTATTTGCCCCGAAAACTTACATTACGTTTTCAGGGTAAACGTTGTCACCCTAATGCTTCCATTTCCACATTGCTTGGCAATTCTCCCCCACCATGCGCTTCCTGTAATGTCGTTCAAACGAACGCTCACCTTTTAAGCAATTGAATTTCTGAGCGTGTAATCCAATTTTACTTCAACGGCTGTAATTACTCAGTAAAAGATCGTGGTTATGTAATTCGTATATTCTCCTACTGTTCATGCAAATGTGCAGCCAAAAGGCAGCAACCAAAACCGGCGCACTATCGTGCATGGTTAATAAGAATTGTACGAACCGTACTAATTTCATATATTCACCCCCACGGAAGAATTAGTCGTTTCAGTTGCTGTGTTTCTCTGGAAACGCACTTATGCAAGTTAAACTCTAATGGCACTTTTATTGAATAAGATGCTTCTATTATATTGACAAATAAACAAACACCATATCATACAATTTTGGTGTGTGTTAAGCAGGTGAGTGCGCATGGAATCGACGGCTTCCTTCTCGGGCTCGACTCCAAATCGGTTCGGTAGTTGCATACTGCATATATGACGAGGACTAAACAACCGTACAATGTATCCAAGGATTTACAGTCGTGATTGATGTGTTTGGTTCTGCACTGATGATTGCCATTTCATAAAGGAGTTAATTTCTTCATATTGTATACGTTGTTTTATTCCCAATGCCGCTTAATTATTAAACAAAATCTCGAGGCCGCTAGTCGGTTCGAAACCATCGTATTGATAATCTAACTTCTTCGCCAAGCTACTCAAAGGATATGAGGCATTCTGAATAAGAGATGCCGAAACACCCACACACCGTGAATAATAGAGACACTGAACGAACATTCACACTTTAAACGTCCGTTATTCTTTTTTGTACTGTATAGTTAAACAAAACGATTTGTCTGACACTGTTCGATCAGAGTAGAACAATCTGCTGGCCTCTTACCTAAGTATTGTCATAACTACTCACAAAGAAAATACTGCACTACATGCGATTAAGTCTCATGATAAACTCCAGGAAAGCTTACGTCAACGATTAATAATGCCCAATGTGAGACTGAACTCACATCGTTTTATACGCCTCATCACCTTAATTCGGAACGCATTATGAAGCGCTCGGTATTTAATTTGAATCTGGGCGGTTCAGCAATGGTTTTTTGAGCTTGAATGATAATATTTTTTAATAAAACATTTTTTAGGGGGGGGGCAAGTTGTACCAAGAAAACGGGGAGAATCCGGTCGGGCTGTCTATACCTTTTTCATGTCAAGTTG